AACTACTCAGAAATATATTTGATTAGTTTTTAAATAATTTATATAATACTTGGAAAATTTTCACCAAACGCCCCTCTGGCTTATCCGTTGCAATATGCCCGGAACAAAAGCGCGTAGCGCATAGCCAAAAAGTTATTAAAGCGTAAATTCGAGACCATTATGATTATGTAGATCTCGCAGTACCCTGTGCGTATATTGTTTTAAGCTCTAGTGTGAGGTTCACACTATAACAAAAAAAAAATTAGTAATGTCTGCTTGTTGCTGCTGCTGTTGTTGTTGTTGTTTATAGTGTTGCTCGCATTTAGTTTATTGTTGCTATTTCACCAGCCGGCTGACTGGCTGGCTGGCTGAGTTCAATGACTAATTTATGAAAGTTAGCCTGACTTGGCTTTTATTGGGCATGAGCCGGAAATACCAAGTGTGCGCAAACCCCACACACCACCACCTAGCACACTCCCCCCCCTCCCGCTGCTCACACTGTCTGAACGCTCAGGTAAATAGTCAACATCCAATTGCCGAGCTAGTATCTCTCGAAATTTGTAACAAGAAGTTGCAACTGCTCAAACACAAAATGCGGCCCGAAAAGGCAGCCGACAAGGACCTTTCCGGGAAGGGCGGACACGCTGGCTTATCTGCGGTCGCGGTTGCCTCAACCATTTTCATGTTGACATGTTAATTTTCGCACGCACTTGTTGCACGTTGCGCGTTACCTGCTCCATTTCTATTCTATTTTTGCCGCTGTTTTTTTTTTTCTCTCTCTCCAATTTTTTCTTTACTTTGCGGCTAACCAGGACGCTAATCGGCCTCAGTGCTGGGCGTGTGCCGACAAAAGCCGTGTTCAGGATATCCTGTGCTTCTTCAGCGTGTGTGATACTTGCATGTTGCCGCTGCCTGTGCCTCTGCCCCCACCCCTTCCCCCCTCCTCTAGCTCTTCCTCGTGCTCCCACTTCCAACTCCACCTCCTGTGTGGCAATTTAACGCCCCTAATTGAGCTATAATGCGCTGTCCGACAGATGATTTAATTGTATACACATACACAACACACACTCACTCACACACACACACACACGCACTCAATGCACAGCCATGCACATACATACATATATATTGAGTATATCAGCAACATCTATTTGCTTTGGCATTTGCCGACTCGCCGACTAAATCAATTTTTATGTCGCACTTTGCAGTTAATGTGGAGCGCCAACACCGGCCACATGCCCCATTTGGTGGCAACACCAACTGGGCCCCAGCCAGCGTCGTACATTAAATATGCATCAAAAATTGATGATGATGCATTTTTAACGATTCGACAAAGATTTTTATGTCGTGCATTTGACAAGATTCGACAGAGCCAACTGACGGATTGCCATGCTGATCCATGATCTGCCATGCATCATGTTGCACGATCCATTCCTCCTCCCATTTAATAGTGGTTGTTGTTGTTGTTGTTGTTGTTGTTGCTGTCGATTGGATTTTGATGACCTTTTGATAAATTCCCTTTTTTCGTCTCGATTGTTAACGGCTTTTGTTGGATGTGATTTGTTTTCAATAAGAACGCCTACAACAGCACAGAGATACACTCGAACACACACACACACTTACAGAGAGGTGGGACAGTAGTACAT